GGGGGGATTGTGTGAGGTTCTGTCTTCCACTCACCCCTTCAGGACTTCAGGACAGTCTTTGTCTGTATTGTTTTGTTCTGAGATAGCCACTACTTTTATCTACTTGTTATCAACAGGGGATGACTGATGGGCGCTACAAGTAGGTCTTATTTCTTTTCTTTCCCTTTGTCATTTCTGTTTGTCTTCTGTCCTTTTCCCAGAACTAGATGACCGTTATTATTTCAATGCACTTTTTTTTTTTTAGTCAAAGATATATTTATTGCTGGGAATGTTGTTTCTGTCTATCTGTCTTACTGCTCTAAATGACTGCTATTGTATCAATGTGCATCTCTTTACTCAAACTAGCATGATTTAAAACATTTTTTGTCCACAAACCTTGGTTTAAAATGTACTTAATGTTACAATGTTCTTTGATTTAAAAATGTTTATTATAAAAAAATTTTTTTTGCTTTGCCAGTTTTTGAGCACAATAAAGTTGTCTGAACATCTAAGCTCCAGCCACAGCGACCATGGGGAGAACGGAACGATGGTGGCGGATTCCTTGCTGGAGGAATGTATCAACAGGTCAGTCCAGGCCACACCACAGTCATTTAGCTCTTTTTTTTATAGTATAGGTATGCCCCCATTAATGCAAAGTCAGATCATGTGGGAGGTTGGCTTTTTACCCTGCCTGTCAGGGCTGACCCAGGCTGAGAGGGATACTACGTCCCAGCAGAAAGACCAATATACTCAATAAAAATTTCTCCCTTTTCGGGAATCAAACGCGGGTCTCCTGCATGCAATAGTGAAGCGCCTTATCACTACCCCACAGATACTTGTTCATTAACCCTCTAGTGCCGGCTATAAGAAATAATATTGATATGAAAACTATGACTCATCACGCTGTTTTTATAAAGACAATATAACTGAAATATTTGAAGTCGGTTTACTGAGTTATATATATATATATATTTTTTTTTTTATAGTAGAGGGTTTTACGGCGCTCGCAACTGCATAAGGTCATATGAGCGCCAAGGGGTTGGTGTCAAAAGAGAAGTCTTTACAGGGAATCAGACTTAGACTGCTCACCTCTCTAGCTTCAACAGCACAAGATCTGCTTCGACCATCAAGGCACCCCAAAATAGCAGGTCAGAAGAGAGTGACAAACATACAAAAGAAGTAGAGGAAAATGACAATAGTAAGGATCAGGAAAGAAAAAGCAGCAGTTCCCTGTTGTAGATCAGGCACAGTTATGGGCGTGACCTGAGTCACTCCTTTTACAATTCTACTATACTTGAACGAGAAATGTCCCCCTTTTGGGAATGGCCAAAAGGCACTTCAGTCAGTGGCACTGCCCCGGGGGGGTTTACTGAGTGAACAATACTTGTAATATTTGCCTCTCCCTCTCTCCGAAAAATAATAGCGACTAAGCCAATACCCTCTAGAGAGTTAAGTGGTCATAGTGACCACAACATAATCATAAAAAAACAAAACAGAAAAAAGAATCCCCTTGTATCAACCAATGACAAAGTTCACTCTGTCCAGGTCCCTGTACCTTCCCGAGCCGCTGGCTATGACTAAAGATGGCAACAAGTACGTGAACTTGCCCGAAGAACTTCGAGCAACATCGGACAGCAACAATTCAGTGACACCAGCATCACTGACGTCAGCACAGACACCATCACCGACGTCAGTACTGACGCCATCAGCGACAACCACCACCCCTTCCTCCGGCAGCAACACTTTCTCACAGACCACAACAACAACGACAACAAATGACCGAGGGCCAACCACAGACTCTACCCTGACGGTCGTACCGTCTGCCGAGAGTTCTGGAGACTTCCTGTCAGAGTTCAAAGAGTTAACGGGTCCCTCAACTGACTTGCTCTCTCCCCCTGCGCCAACCACAGGCCAGACGGTCAAAGCAGACATGTCCGCAAACGATCAAGTTAATTCAGAGGTCGTGAGCAGCGTCTGTCAGCCATTTTCCAAAGTGGAAGACCTGCTAGATGTGTCGACTCAGGGAGTGAACTCTGTGGGCACAGACGGAGGGGACGCAACTGTTGGGTCGCAACTTGTTGAGAATATCGTAGAATCGGAGAACAAAGGTACAGTTGTAGAGGGTTTACGTTTATCCATACTCTACAGCGTGCTTGATCCACTTTACAATTATTATTATCCCTGAAGGTGGGTGGAGATCGCCTCTGGTATGTCCTACTTCTGTTGTTTCTGGCTTTTTTCTTTGCTGTAAATGACTATTGTGGGTGGTTAGGGAGTGTTCTGGGGTTATTTGCTCCTTCTTTCCTATTAAACCTCTATCGTTCTTATCTCTCCTCATTCCTTTATTATACCTTTGGCACTTATATATGACCCTATTGTGTTGCAAGTGCTGTAAAACTCTTAACTTAAATAAATAGTGACCATTATTGTGGTGTTCTTCTTTTCTTTTCTCAAACTCCGTCATTTTGTAATAATTACTCTCCCCAGATACAGAAGACGGTGATGGAATAAAGTCGGAGAATCGGGTCGGAAAAGACTCACAGGTGGCGCCACACGTGCTCATGTTACAAAACCCTGGCTCTGACTCGGAGGGAGGAGAGGAGGAGGTTTCGGACAAGGTCGGGTCAGAAGAGGCAGCTGAGGGGACGACCTCAGTTGTGAAGACAGAGGGAGTGGAGGGGATGGAGGAGGAGGCGGAAGGAGGGGAGGGCTCAGATGAAGAGGAAATGTTTGTGGAGGAGCAGCAAGAAGCCGGTCTGGCTTCAGGGGAGAACAGTGGAGAGAAACTTCCAGAAACTGACGAAGGTGAGAATTGGGGTACAGTCGAACTTAGTTTAGTTTTAGTAATAGTCTTATGGCAAATTTTGCAACACATTTAGGTTAGGTTGTATAAGTGCCAAAGATTAGAGGTTTTGCTAGAGAGTTACATACAAAGACAAGAATTAGGAGAGATAAGGAGGATAGATGTTTAATAAGAAAGAAGGAGCAGACCACACCAGAGCACCCACCCCCACCCACTGCCCACTGTATTGAAAAAATATTTTTTTGAAACTATTTAGTGTTGTTGTCTTTATGCCTACATTGATACAATTTAAATAATTTTGGAGGTAGGCTCCTTGCCCTGACCTTCGGGGCCATCCTGGGCGAAGAGGAATACAGCATCCCAGGAGGAAGATCAAGATACTTGATAAAAATTTCTCCCTCTTGGGAACCAAACTCAAGTCCTCTTGTTGCCACAATGAAGGGACCAACCATTACCCCATAGGCACTTGTCACAAAATGAGATTTCTTGAGGTCTCAGAAACTTGATGTGCTAAAAGTAACTATGGTTTTTCAGTACACGTCTGTCGTTCATTTATGTGTCTAATCTTATTCTGCGTGTGTTTTTACATTCAGTTCTCTTTCTATGTGTTTCTTTTTTTTTCCTTTCCTTTTAGTTGTGGCTATTTTTCTTTCGATGTTTGTTGTAGACCTTCCAGTTTTTATTTTACTCTTTAACTTTAAATTTAGGAGGGGGGGGGAGGAAGATTTTTCTCTCCTCTTATGTTCTTTTTCGTGTCTCATTTCTCTTATCTTTTTTTTTTTTATTCTGGTACTTCCTCTTTCAATTTGTCTCAGTTTGTTCTTCTTTGTAACCCTTTTGAAAATCTTTTGTCTTATTCTTTTTCCTTTTAAAAATCTTTTACATCTTTTTCTCTCCCCCCCCCCCCTCCTTTTTTCATCTTGTTCTCATTTTTTAAATATCTCCTTTTTTTCATCGTATAATATTATCTTTCCCCCAACCAGTAGGGCAGGAGTCACCTAACGCAATGGCCAAAGAGAAATCGGCAGCTGAGGAGAGTCTGGAGGTGGCTGAAGGTAAAGCGGCGAGTGGCAGCGCGGGCACAGAGAGCAAGAACGAGAAGATTGAAGCCTTGATCAAGAGGATGGGCTATCGGCGGATGTCTATGGACATATTCAACAAGATGAGGGACACGTTCGGCACGGAGGAGTGCGAGTTTTGTGGCAGGCTGTTCTACAGCAAGGTGGACTACGAGCCTCATGTCAGGACTCACACAGGTGAGGGATAGGAGGGGGAGGGGGAGGAGAGGGAGTAACAGGCTGTTCTACAGCAAGGTGGACTACAAGCCTCAGGTCAGGACTCACACAGGTGTAGCGTGGCTGCAGGGATCGGATACATGCCTTCTCACTCTGCTGCTCTCTGCCTCTCTTTCTCTCTCTCTGTTTATCTGTCACTCTCTCTCTCTCTCTCTCTCTCTCTCGTCTCCTTCCCACATATACAAATATACTCACACACACACAGACACGCACACACACACATGCGCACACGCTGCGCAAAATGGTGGCATATATCAATTTTGTCTCTGTGTGGATCACTTACAGTGTACCTCTGTTCCCTCCCTTGCGCTCAAATGACCTTATACAGTTGCAAGCGCTGTAAATCACTTACCAAACTGTCCTTCCCCACAGGCGACAAACCCTTCGCTTGCGCTCACTGCAGCTTCCGAGCCAACACCAAGGACCAGCTGAAGCGACACTCGGAGAAAGAGCATGAGAAAATCGCCTTCCAGTGCAAAGAGTGCGACTTCCTGGCGCCCACACGGACACGTCTGTGGAACCACCAGCTCAAACACCTGGGCATCAGTGGACTCTCCTGTCCCAGGTGCTCCTGTAAATTTGACGGGTACGTTCTCCTTTGTTTTTAGTAAGGTTTAAGGGCGCTTGCAACTGCATAAGGTCTAATGAGCGCCAAGGGGTGGATGTCAACAGAGAAGTCCAAACGCGGAATCAGGCTTACTCTGCTCACCTCTTTAGCCTCAACAGCTCAAAGTCTGCTTCAACTATCAAGGCACCCTGAAAATAGCAATTCACAAGGGAATGACATACACACAAAAGAAGTAGAGAAAAAATGACGATAGTAAGGACGAGGAAAGAAAAATCAGCAGTTCCGCCTATGTTGTTCAAGCACAGTATCTGCTGTCCTTTCGTGTATATAATTAATGTATGGTTGTGAAAGTTCTTCTTCATGTGGTTGAACTGGTTTTTCTTGTTTCTGTGAAATATTTTCTCATGTGTGAATGATCTTGTGATTTGTGTAAAGCGCTCAGCTCAGAGCTCATGCTAGTATGGGATAGAGCGCTATGTAAGTGCAATCTATTATTATTATTATTATTATTATTATTATTGACTCAGTGGGTGTTGGGTGGGTGCTCTGGTGTGGTTTTTTCTTTCCTTTCCACTCTCCCTGTCTCTCTCTTTCTCTCTCTCTCCCCCCCCCTCTCTCTCTCTCTCTCTTTCTCTCTCTCTTTCTCTCTCTCTTTCTCTCTCTCTCTGTCCAATGTACTTTATTTACACTACTATATATGTACAACATACTTTTGTGTTTCCTGTGATCATAGAATGAAACAGCTACGGGCTCATATCCTGAACTGTGTTGTATGTCCAACGTATTTTATGACTCAATGATATGTAGGCCTACCTCATGTTTGATCGCTTTTAACTCACTGACTACGGATCCCGTCACAGGTACGGGGCGGACGGTCGGTTCGCAGGTACGGTTCCCGTACCCCCGATGGGATGGACTTTGCGGTTTTGTTCTGTAACTTGTGCTCCCGTCACATGAAAGGGAACGGACTCCAGTGCTAGTTTTGCCTCTTGTTTGGTTTCGTGCTGAGTTTGGCCGAAGTTTCGTGGTAACTTTTTAAGCAATTGAAGGTGAAGGACAGTCACCTCATCTGGGGTTGACCTGACCGGAACTCGCGCTATGTTTTTTCTATACAAATGATAGTAATCCGACAGTCGCGTCAAAGTAACGGTCGCATGAACAAGAATCACATAATTTCGCTGTTTTCGACACTTCTGTACGTTTTGCTAGTTCTAGTGACTCAGGATATGATGTGTCTGATAGTTAGGACCCTGGATATGTACCCGAATACCGCCCGAGTTGTAGTTTTAGGGCTAGATCTAGCACTAGTACTGTTGTTCTTGTTCGCGTGACGAAATCACAACTTCGTTCCCTACATCTGTCTCATGTAATTCAGTGTATGGGTCTGAATAAAAGCACAGACCAGCTTTTATATTTTTACCAAACACTCACCCATGGATACAAATCAAAACAGAACACTTTAAACTTTTATTTTTGTTGTTGTTGTGGATTTCATTTTATCTGTCATGTCTCTGGAAATTTTTTCTAAAAATCAAATTCATTCCAATTTTGAAACAATCATAAGAATTAAAGTTTTAAACTCAGAGAACTTAAATTTTTTGCAATAGATTAAGTTTGAAAGTAACTTTACTATGTCAAAAAATAATTACAATAGGGTAATTCTGAGAGTTGTGGTGGTGTCTTGAAATACTCCCAAAAATGCCAGTACTCAGCACTAGTGATTTGTGAAAGGGGCCAGTAGTCAGTGAGTTAAGGACAAGCAGGCTAACCCAGATTTTGAGGGTTTCCAGAAATCTTGACCGACACCAAAAATGGGCATTGCCCTACCTATAGGAGAAGTTTGGTTTTATTGGTGTGTATGTATAGAGAAAACTCTCCTTGTCATTTAAAGAAACTGAACAAGGGGCAAAAACTTTACCTTTGATTTTCTCAAAACAGCATTTTTCAGGATAGCTCCCTTGTGCTTAAAAAGCGACCATTTGTATGCATGTGTCTTGTGATCACAGAATGAAACAGCTGCGGGCCCACATCTTGAACCAGCACCAGGACATGGACAAACAGACGCTGGAGAAACTGACAGGCTACAGGCACCGGCCCCTAGGACGCATGGGTCAGTCTCTCCATGCTTGTCGTTTACCGGCTGTTTCACGCAGAGTGTCTTTTACATTGTGTGTCTTTTGTGCTATGTGTCTTTTTACTTTGTATGCCTTTTACTTTATGAAAAATGGTGTGTGTTTATTAATACTAGAAAGTTATTTTAAAAGGCAGGTCTTTTATTTTGTGTGTTACATTATGTATCTTTAACAAGAGTGTGTCTTTTGCTTTATGTGTCTTATACAGTCGAATCTGCTCCAAGTTTTAACGCTTACCTGTATAAGTATAAGTAAGACAATCACTTGTACAAACTTCCTATTTCCTCCCTTGTGTATTTTTTTCACCTTATCAATGACATTATGTAAGACGGCCTTTTTCTTCTCGACAGTGGGTGGACATCCTTGACAGTTTTAACTGTATTATATACTATGTGTATTATATTGTTTTATCACTAGTGACATTTTTAGGGGGGATTTCATTCTTGTATTTCCAACAGGTCGAAGGTCATTCAAGTGTCCCCACTGCCCGCGTACTTTCATCCGTGCAAATTCTGACTTGCAAAAGCACATCTGGATACATGAAGGCATCAAGCCATTTGCTTGTCCAATTTGCCCGTATGCTTGCCGTTCCAAAAATAACCTACAGGTACGAGGCTCTCAAAGTCAGGCTTATTCTAATACTGCTGTGCTAAGGAACTTTTCCTCTCACAGTAGTCACAGTCTACTGGTTTCCATGCTCAACTGATTAGGCTTTTTGCTCGTTTCACATGGAAAGCATGAGTTCAATTCTAAATTTTCCGCTTCAGTTAGCTCTGAGCCCTACTGTCATAGTGGACACCACACAAAGTTGTAAAAATAAACCACTTCACAATGTTGTAAAATGACACCATCATCTCACGATATATTCTTTCCGGCGTCTGTGGTGTGTAATGGTTAGCCACTTCACTGTTGCTCTCGGGGGACCTGAGCTTGATTCTGGAGTGGGGGAGAAATTTTATTGAATATCTCAGTCTTTCTGCTGGGTTGTATCCCTCTTAACCTGTGGTAGCTCTATCCGACTTTTTCCCTGCACTATATGCCCGTTATTGTTTCTTTAATTCTCTTTGCTAGTCTTTACCTAAACAAACACACAAATGTGAGGAGTGCTGACACAATGAGTTACTTCTCGCAATCCAAGAATGGAGATATCGGCCGAAAATCGACACTGGAGTCCGATTTTTTAATTTTTAACTGATGCCATTTTCTTCAAGTCCACCGTGTCTTTTATTATTCCATTCTTACAAATTGTGCAAACTCCAGTTATAAAGTAAATGTATCAGGCTAAAATCCGAGAAGTAACTCATTTTTTCAGCACACCTCTCATTATTGTTTTCATATCCCCCCCCCCCCTATAACAGGCCCACATGCTGAGACATTCCACGGAAAAGCCCTTCTCCTGCTCCGAGTGTGGCAAGGAGTACAAGTCAAAGACGGCACTCAGGTGGCACGTGCGCTCCCACAAGACGGGGAAAGCCTTCAAATGTGATAAGTACGTGCTTCTTTCCCGCTGTTCCTCGTGGTGCACTGGTCTTGATTATGTGTGCTGTAGAAAGGGATAAATACGTGGATTTCTCTGCTGTATGTAGAGTCAACTGGCCTTACTTGTATGTGTTGTATATTGTTCATTTTTACTATAAACTTATAAGCCCTATATGTCATCTGTTATTAGGATATATATTTTTCGTACATAAACCTATATGATGTATCAAATTTTGGTCCGACCAAAAGGTAGATATAGATGTCGTTATAACATGTGTCATGTTTTCTAGATAAATGTTGTTATGGTATTATTTATGTCTCATATTCTCCCCCCCCCCCGTAGATGTCCATACGAGGCGACCCAGCAGAGTCACCTGAAGCGACACATGGAGACGCACGAGGTGATGAAAAGGTTCGTCTGTAAACACTGCGCGTTCTCTGCCAACACACTGGGCTACATGAAGATACACTACGCCCGACACCACAAGGTAACGGCAGCTTGTTTTCTTGTTTGTTCACCATGTCAACTTGACTTGTTGCTTACCACAAGGTAATGTCAACTAGTAATGTTGCTTACCACTTACCATACACCATGAGGTAATGTCAGTTTGTTTTGTTGTACTACTTGTAGGTACTGCCCCTTTTTTCTTGAAGATGTTTGTTGTAAAATATACATGTAAAAAAAACTTTAATTGTTCATTGTACTAACATTTATGTAAAGCTCCTAGAGCTCTGTGCTCATGGCAGTAAGCAATGTAAAAATGACCTACATCATTATTATTCCCCTACTCTCCCCCCAGGGCAAGCCATTTGTCCACGAGGAAACAAGTGAGACCACCATCTCCCAGCCAGAGAAGCGTGTCTTCAAATGTCTCAGCTGTGGCTACTTGTTCGGTAACCTGTCTGACCTCAAGCGACATCTGAAGATACGGCACCTGGTGCAGATGCAGGCCATAGCCGGGATGGAGCAGCTTCAGATCTCGGAGGTGGAGGTAGGCAGAGGGGGGGGAGATGGGAGTTGGTAGGTGGAGGGTAGCAGGTAGGAGGCAGAAGGTGGAAAGTGGAAGGATTGGTTTTACAGACATGTTACTCAGACCTGCCACTCATCCCGATTTAATTGGGATATCCCGATTTTTTTCCCCCTATTTTCAAGCATCCCGATTTTTTTGTTCTTTCTGTTGCGCCAGATTTTTCTAAAAACAAACTCTGCCTTTGTATATTTATGGACACCCGTGGTAAATTTGAAAGCCAGCTGGGCAGTCACCCTGGTGATTCGTCGTTGGTCCCGATTTTTTTCCCCTGATCCAGATTTTTTTCCCTTGAGATCCTGATTTTTAGATTTTATGGAATGGCAAGACTGTGTTACTGGTGTGGTGTTTAGGCTCGTTGTTGTCGCTCGCAGAAGGCTTGAGTTGGATTCTTCAGTGGGAAGCCTTGGACTTTAAGCTTGGATTTTGTACCCCTCTCAACTCAAGTTGGGCCTGACAAGTAGGGTTGGAAGCCCACCTCCTAAATGATTTAAATTGTGTCAATTGGAGTGTAAAAACACCTTCTGGTATATTTGTTTGTTATTTTTTATATTTTTTAAGAGGAGACAAGAGATACAAAAGATAGCTGAACCTCCAGACTAGTGAGGAAGAAACACTAAACCCATGGACAAAATGTCTCCATTTTTTGTCACTCAATACATCTCTACATCAGACAAGTTTCGTTTATTGATAGCCAGTATCTCAAGAAATATGTATTAATGTATAATATCTATATTCAATGGTGTTATATTCATTTTTTATTTACGTTTTGTGTAAAATATGCCTCTTTACCTGTGTGATATTGAATGAAAAAAAGAAGTGGAAAACAATGTTTGTTGTTGAAATGTTAATAAAGAGATTTTGACCCTTGTAACCTTCCCATCCATCGCCCATCTCCTCACCAACGTCCCATCAGGTGGTTCAGTACGAGGACACAGCAAATGCTGCGACAGCCACCGCCACACTGGCCGACATGTCACAGGTTCAGACAGCTCCCCAGGTTGTTTCAGGTTCGTACCTCATTTTTCTTTTTTTAGTAAGTTAGCTTGCCCCGAATTTCCTGTGACTGTCCCAGATTAAGCAATCCACAATGTGAGAGTCTTATCACATACAGTCGCCTCCGTTTGTGTTGAACTTGCTTGGTTTAACTGAACTTTTTCTCGGGTCCAAGCACCTCTTCTTCTTTATAGTTATAGTTACTGCACGTTTGTAATTGTGTGTCTGTGTATCTCCAGCGGGCGACCTTCAGACTAGTGGGCCGAGTGACGCGAGTAAACCATCGGTGTCTGCCGTCAGCCTCATACAGCAGCTCTTGGGAATGTCACAGGTCAGGGATATGTTTTATATAGATAATATTAGTATATATATATACAGATAATAATTGAAATTGTGTAATATCTGTGCTCTACAGCTGGTCTTTGTGTTTTGAACATTATAAAATAATATAATGTAATGATACTACACCAGAATGTGCTATGTTGGGTTTGTTGAAGTGTACTTTATGCTGAGTCAGCACAATGACATGCATTTTATTTAGGCCTGGCAGTATTAAGGATTTTTAGTTTGATTAACTTATGAAGTCTTGAGATGAAGGAAGAAATAGTCTGCAGCCACTGAAAGCAGTGGAGATGTGAAGAAAGAGCTCATATTCATATGTACAGTCGTAGCATTAGAGTTCACCTCTTGGAATGTAACTCAAGGGTTTTTTCTGTATGTCTTTACGTTGGGAACCCTTAAAATAAGTTTGAGTCAAAGGAAATCTGAGTGTGAAAATTAAATCGCTCTGTTATGATGGGAATTTCTGTCTCCTTCTTTAAAAGAATATCTTTCAAAAAGAAAAATGGTGCACACTACACAGATACGGTACAGTGCCGTGTGTTTGTAAATAATGAGCAAGTAAACAAATGTGTACTGTGTGCCCCGTGTCCCGTCTTTGGAGTGTCATACTAAACATTTAGTGGGTGGTTGGCAGGTGCTCTGGTGTTGTTGACTCCTTCTTTCCTATCAGACATCTATGGTCTTTATATATTTTTTTCCTTTAACAAATTTGGGGTTTTTTTGTTTGTTAATGATACTCTCTAGTAGCACTCATTATCTTCAATACCTGTATGACCTAGCGGTGTTGCAAGTACTGTGAAACTCTTACACCAAAACTAGGACTTACCCAGTGGCCTTGAACTTCCTCAGGGTGACAACCAGGTGCGCGTGGTGTCGGAGGATGGGGAGCCATTTGAACTTTCCCCCGAGACCATCATCGTCCAGCAACAGGACGGTCAGCTACTTCTGACCAACGAGGCGGCCGGGGCCATGGCTGGGGGGCAATACGTCATACAGTACTACAACCCGGGGGAAATGGTGAGTATGTGTGGGTGTGCGCGCATGTGTGTGTATGTCTTGGGGGGGGGGGGGTATGTCATACAGAGCTGCAACCCAGGAGATGCGGTGTGTGTGGGTGTGCGCGCATGTGTGTGTATGTGAGGGTAGGGTTTTAGGGAGGGATACGTCATACAGCACTACAACCCAGGGGAAATGGTGAGTATGTTTGTGTGTGGGTAGGGTTTGGGGGGGGGGGGGGGGGAGACAGTTTGTTATACAGTAGAGGTATTACAGCTACAACCCAGGAATTATGATGAATGTATAGGAGGGATGTTCAATAAGTCTTTACCCCGGCTATGAAAGAAGCAAGAAAGAGAGTTTAAATTTGACACCCACAATGCAGCTTCTGTTCATAGAGTTAGAGACAACCTGCAAATTATGTGGTTTAATTATGGGAAGACCCGGGTCGGCGATCCCAAAGAATATTATATCAATAAAAATTTTTTAAATATCTAATTTTTGTTTTTTGCTGAAAAACATCCCTTGACATCTGTTCTATCGGGTCACAATGATGAAACTGTTGAAAAAACACCCTAAATGACCTAAAAGGGCGTTTGAAAAAATCAACAAATTCACGAATCGTACATTTACCTATGAACTTCTTGCACAATGACATGAAAGTGAATACAAGTATTTCGTTTAGAAAATTTGTCCGGGAGTGCACGTCTCCCTTTTAAGTTTAGGCCGGTGCTACTGGCCTGATCTCGGGTGGCCTGTAGGGAATTTCTGTGACCTCGGGTGGCAAGCATTTTCTGCCCACTTGGAGCCAGTCATCTATATCTAGTCTTAGATACGGGGTGCCCACTACGGCTGGATCGGGCCGATCGCCTGAAACTGAAAACAAACAAGGTTTCCCTCGTGAGTTGACTAGATACCCTAGATCTATCACCCTTTATTTAATTATCTTTCATCGGAATGTCGGTGACAAAGTTACTAACAATAAAATGCAGTGTCGTGATGTTATTAAAGATTGTCTAACTACTACCAAGATGTTTCAATTACCCTATCTCGCATCCGAACGAGACTTGGACGCTAGATCTACTTCGTCTTAGCGCGTGACGGCCCGTGATACGAGTGTAAACAAACGTTCCAGCGCTGAGTTGAAAGCGGGAAATTTTGTCTGCGGGCAGAGAGAGAAAGAGAGAGAGGGGGGAGAGAAAGAAAGAGAGAGGGAGAATGAGAAAGAGAGAGGGAGAGAAAGAGGTGGGGGGGGGGAGATTTTTGGTTATTAGAATTACTGATTCCTGTTGTTTTCTCTCTGCGTCGATTCACAAACTGACCCAGTGCAATACAGTCATTATTGTACTCATTATGCCTAGTCCTATGACATGTATTATAATAATGCCATGTTGACCATCCGACTTTTGACTTTGAGGACAAGGAGAAGTGACCGAGTGACTGAATCTTGCGCGATTTCTAAAGGAGCATGCGCAGAAATTCCCACAGGCCAGAACACGGAACAAGCGCAGAAATCCCCACGTGCAAGAAGCTGCAGACTAGGCAGGGCTAATCGAGCGAATTCATTCGCCTGGAACATGCGCAGAAATCCCCACCGGCCTGTAGCGCCAGGCTACTTGACCGAGATCGGGCGACTAGCCACTCCGTTTAGTTTAAGCAGACTCCAGTTTAATTAAATTGAGTTAGCGAGAAAAAAATGTTGTGACTTGTGTTGTTCTCTCTTGTTTCAGCCGCCTGGGGCGGAGTCGAGTGTCGCCGCAAGCAGCTCCGGTGGGGAGGTACAGCTGGCACCCGCACCGCCAGACGCCGGTCAGTCCATCCAGTTCCTAACCGCTCCCCAGGACCAGGGGGCGCAGTTTATCATGACCCCGGGTGTGCACCGGCAGATCCTGACCTCTGAAGGTCAAGCACAGATTCTCACCCCTGAAGGTCAAACTCAGATCCTGACCTCTGAAGGTCAAGCACAGATTTTGACCTCTGAAGGTCAGGCTCAAATCTTGACCTCTGAAGGTCAGCCTCAGATTCTGACCTCTGATGGTCAAGCGCAGATCTTAACCTCTGATGGTCAAGCACAGATCTTAACCTCTGAAGGTCAAGCTCAGATTTTGACCTCTGGTGGTCAGGCTCAAATCTTGACCTCTGAAGGTCAACCTCGTATACTGACCTCTAACGGTCAAGCTCAGATTTTAGCCAGCAGCGATGGACAAACCCAGATCATCTACCCAGAGGACGGCAGTGGGGGTCAGCTGATAGCCATCGAGGGCAGCGGACATCTGCTGTCAGCTGGGGGAGAGAGGGAGGCGGCCGGTCAGTTTGTGGTCAACACGGACCTGGACACCATCAGCGAGCACCTCATCATCTCTGACCCCGGGGGTCGTGGAGAAGTCCTGGAGGGGGAGGGTGGGGATGATCCCGGCGGGGCCAGAACTTCGCAGCAGCTGGACGGGTTTACCATCTCTACTGGTGCCGAAGACTCGTAGATCTGACCTACAGTACCGCGTCTGTGGTGTAGCGGTTAGGTGCTTCACTGTCGTTCTCCGGAGACCTGAATTCAATTCCAGAGTGAGGAGAATTTTTGTTGAGTATTTAGGTCTTTCTGCTGGGATGTTGTATCCCTTTCAGCCTGGGTTGGCTTTCACGGGTAGGGTCAGAAGCAGCCTCCTAAATGATCTAAATTGTGTCAATGAGGGCGTTAAAACACTTACATTTTAATTTGATTTAGACCAGGCATGCAGTGTCATCCTTTGTTGTGCCTGGACTGTGGGGTCAGATGGGAGGGACTCGCCATGAATGAGAGTCTTGTTAGCATAAGTGTAGCATTCTATCAGTTGCCTTTCTACCTCATATCACAGTGAATGTTCAATGGTCTGATGATGTTTCCAATGGTGACAATCTCACTTTTATTTCAAGTTCAAGGTGACTTGACTGGTAGCGCCCCCCTGTTCAAGTAAAATTCTAAATAAGGGGGGGGGGGGGTGTTCCTGATTAACATAATAACATACTTGGTTGAAATGCTTAATTATCAGATCAATTACAAATCCAGGTAGGCTACCATACAGAATGTCAAAGTTCATTCCTGTAGGTTTACCACTACTTGTCTGTAAGAAGGAGAATGTTACTGTTTAAGTTTAAGGATGTTATAATATAATTTGAATTGATTCTGTTGTGTGGATTCCATTTGTCAAAATCTATAGATTGTTGCTAACGTTACCTCATTGCTTATTAACAGCTGTGTGGGTCCTGTAGAATCGGTGTCATGTGGTGAGAGGTTAGAGAATACTTTGGCAGGTGTGGAAGTCTTCATGAAGTTAGTAGTTTTAGTACTTGCGTTTGAGGAGAAGCATAGCGCTTAAGCACTTCACTGTTGCATGCAGGAGGCCAGAGATCGATTCCCAAGAGGGGAGAATTTTTATCGGGTATCTGATCTCGATGTTTCTCCTGAAATGTTGTATCCCTCTCAGCTCTTTTGCCGCCGACAGGCAGAGTTGGAAGCTCATTTGCTAAATTCTGTCGACTGAGGTGTAAAAACAGTTAAACTAACTCTCTCCCCCCCCCCCCCCCCCCCCCCCCCAATCTTTATGACAGGCCAGCCCGTGGTTGGTAGACAGGTCAATGCCAGCTGCCACCTTGGTTCTCAGAGAAAAAGTGTGAAGTGTAGGCCTACCAGTCTACAGACTACTACCCACCACTAAGATAAAGAAGACTTGCACAAAATGTGAGTCGTGATGTACACGAGCCCAGCACTACAACAGATGGGCTAGAAATAAAGAATGCACTGTGGGATTTTCTCTCTCTTAACCGAATGTTTGGAAAAAGTGAATTAAAACAGAAAGTGGGATTAAAGAATGTTCATTATATGTTGGTGTTTTTACGCCCTTATCGACATATCGAGGAGCCAAGTATTGCTTAGGCCAGAGGGAGGAAGTGAGGTTTAAAAATAGCCTGGAGCTAAGTGTAAGGGTTAATGTACCAAGAAAGTATTAATGGACGGTGGTATTAATGATTTTCTGATGCTGATATGTATAGTCAGTTGTTCAGTCCGTGGTGATGTACATAGTACATAGTATATGTATGTGGTGAGGGGCCCCTGTGCCAACTTGCTGTTGATTATGTCGTGTGTGTTTCAGCTGTTTTCTGTACGGTATAAATTATGATTGAAAGTGAAAGGAGTTTTCTTTGTGCAATAAAGTTGATAACATATTCATACTTGCAAATGGCTTGAATTCAAATTACTTATATTTGACGGCAAAGTTTTCCTCACACAAGAGACGAAAAACAAGAAAAAACTAGCACTAGGTAAAACGAACTGACCCCGTCGTTTTATGCAAGAAAAATTCTGAAATGATGCAAAATGAGCCCAAAAATGTGAAATTATGCGATTCTGTTAATTTTAACCAAGAATGATAAAAAGGAAAATAATAAGAAATTGTGCAAAAAAAATCGAATTTGGCTAAATTGTGCGGGGTGCTTAAAACCACGGGGACAGAACGAAACAGTTGTCACTAGTATCGGGCGCTCACAGCCTTGGATGGGGAACAGGGTTACTACCGCCGGACGCTCCCAGTCAGGGTCTGTTGGGGTGTAAAGAGTTTTAAGCGGGCATTACGCATATTTTAAAACAGACTGCTGTTTGTTCTCTCTTAAATAATATTATAAGAAAATAATACATGATGTCATTCATATTAGATCTATGTTACTTCATTTTTTTGGTTATATTCAAAATCCAGCGGGAAAAAGAGTCGCCCGCCAGTCTTTGTTAATTTTGACGGACTGGTACCAAATTTGGTATTATTTTTACGATAGGAAATAATTTTCAATAAGTTTATAAACGAGAATTTTATCACATGTTGGCAGCAGAACTTGCTAGATTAAAGATCACAACAACAAAAAGTGATTTTATTAAGTTATTTTAACAAGGTTGCATCATGTTTTATTTTGTTACCACAAAGAAGACAAACAATGTCAGTTTAAACTAAAAATGTAATACCCCCTTTAGAAATGCATCATAGGACGCTACTTAACGAAGCGCCCACAGTATGGTAGCCTATTTGGAAACCATCCCGTCTCCAAACAAGAAGTCAAAATTCCATTTAAAATATGTGTAGGAGTTTACTTTATTTCAACATTACTGTGTCAGATGCTTGCTGCACAGTATCAGGAAATAATTTATTTGACAAAATTTTTTTTAATCTCCATGTTCTAGCAAGTTTATCTCTAGTACTAGTAGGCTACATCAGTGGTGGATGTCAGTCCTGCAGTGGGCAGTTGGCATAAAATAAAAATTAAACAAATACAGTCGGGCAGAGATAGCTCTAACATGTACATGTAAAACTTGAAATCAAGGACAGGTTGTACAATCAGCCATTCCCCAACTGCTATGTTTTATTTTTCGTTAACGGTTAATCTGATTGATGGATGTGTCAACACATATATTTATCAATCCACGACGCGTTTGAGTTATATATCTATGCCCCACTATACACTGTATGACTGTATGATATCAGCATCAGTCAGTACATCTCATAGTAATAGTAAAACAAGGACACTTTTTTTTCTGTAAGAGTTTTACAGCACTTGCAAAACAAATAGCTTAAATTTTAAGTGCTGAAGATTAAAGGAGTAACAAAAGAGTAACAAACACAAAAAAGAAGGAAAGAAAACGAAAATAGATGTTTAATAGGAAAGAAGGAGCAGACCACACCAGATGTTTAGTTTTAGTAGAAGTTTTACGGCACTTGCAACACAATAAGGTCATATATACGTGCTGAAGATTACAGGTGTTACAAGAGACTAACAAACACAAAAAAGAATGAGGAGAGTTTTAGTTTTAGTAGAGGTTTTACGGCCCTCGCAACTGCATAAGGACATATGAGCGCCAGAAGATTAGAATTAGAGGTGTTGCAAGAGAGTAACGAACATAAAAAAGAAGAAGGGGAGATAAGGACGATAGATGTTTGATAGGAAAGAAGAAGCAAACCACACCAGAACCACCCATATACAGAGACATGATGTAATGCAAAAAATTGCACACAATATATAATACCTGTCACAGGATTTATGGATATTCTATTAATTTATTTTGTTCAGCGATGAATTTCTACACCGCATGAACACTGCTCCATGTGGCATGTAGTTCTTTTTGAAAAAAATAATAAATGTAGGTAATTTTTACGCCCCAATCAACACAATTTCAATCAATTAGGAGGCGGGCTTCCTACCATCAGCCTCTGGCAAGTAGATTTGACAGAATATGATGAAATCACAAAATTTAATGTATACACATTACAGTACACACATACATAAACTCATACCGTACTCAAAAAGTAACCTCACACAAATAGCTACAGAGTAGCTACACACACACAAAACACTTAGAGTAACTGCACATACACAGAACTCAAAAGAGTGGTTTACACACACACAGAGAACTCACAGATTAATTACAAACTCACTCAGAACTCATTATATTATATGGAAGAGGCTAGCCGTACTTAATGACGGCTAGACTGGCAGTCTAGCCGTACTTAAGTACGGCTAGACTGTAAGTCTAGCCGTACTTATTCTTAATATGATGGCTAGACTGACCATTTACAAAAAATAGGCCTACTGAATTGTAAATATACATTTTTAGTGTGCAGTACCTAAAGTATTTGTATTTGAGACAAAACCAGGTTCCTTAATGACAGTGCATGTATTTTAAACCTCCTGTTTTCTAATGTAAATAGGGCCTAAGATAGGTACGGCTAGACTGGCAGTCTAGCCGTACTTAAGTACGGGTAGACAGCCAGGCTAGCCGTACTTAAGGACGGCTAGACTGTCAGTCTAGCCGTACTTAACATTGATGGCTGAATTGTAAATGAAAATTTTAGTTTGCAATGCCTAAAGTATTTGTATTTCAGACAAAACCAAAAGGTGCCTTACTGACTTGCATGTATTTGAACCTGAATAATAACTAGATCTAGATCTCATGAGACCTGTGTACTTAACAGGATTGAGTCGATTGGGCCAAACCTAGATCTAAGTACGGCTAGACTGGCGGTCTAGCCGTACTTAAGTACGGCTAGCCACTTCGATATTATATTAATTACAAACACACTCAGAACTCATGATTCATAGTCATAGATTAACTACACACACACATGATACAGAACTCATAGAGTAATAACACATACAGAGAGAGAACTCATAAAATAGAGTTTCCCATCTCTTCAGCCAGTGAGACTGTCACTGACAAATACTTGTCTGCAACACATCCGACATTATGTAATGAGAAAAAAGACAACGGCATAACCTTGAGTTAAAAATAATAAAATCTGTTGTGATTTGAAAGAGCATCAATAATAATACTATACTGCTATAATTTTTAAAAATACAGTAGGCCCTACTTGCAGTTTGTACAATTTTACAGGAGAGCCTAATTACGTAATATTGTAATCAAGAAAACAAATTCTTTGCAAACATCCCAAGAAAATATTTTAAAGAACACATTTCTGATAACTTTTTTATTATCTTTCAAGCAAATGTTTTATTGGTAACAACATTTATTTTGGCTGCATTTACTGTATTTTAAAAAATGACGGCAGTATATTTACAAGAGTTAAAAAAGAAAGACTGGAATGACTCATTGTTCATTAATATATACAAGAGCTGTTCTAACACTACCACTGTGCTATGGATGTCTAATGTTGCTATTATATAAAAATACAGCACATGTATTCGTAAAGGGTTTTTCTGCTGTCAAGCAATTTTCTTCTTACAACTTGTAATAACAGCTGCACTTACTTAAACATATTAATGGTATCAAATTTAGCTTGCTTTCGCTAGATAATGATGGTATTGTGGCATATATAAATGAAACAATTGAATAAAGTCAGCCACTATATATATATATAAAAGTACTATATAAAAGAAGCTTCACAAATCGACAGCTAAAAACAGAAGCCATCAAAATATAAATCATCTCCCTAAAAACTTTCAGTTGTCAGGCTACATCTCTACATTGTAGTTGTAGACGAACACATCAATCGAAGAACGTTTTCCATCTCAATACCGGTAAACTGTAAGTAAACAGAAAACAGCAGATAGAAATTTTGTAAGACGGTTTCATGGAGGTGGAGTTCATGTACTGATTTCTCCCTATTGCTATAAATTATAAATAATTCACAGTAATCTTCAACTTCAATTGCACAAAAAGATGTTGACTTTTCACACAAGCAAATCACAAACATCAGAAATTCATCCACACACTAGGAGTGAGACGCAACGTTAAGAGTCTTTTCTCTGGCGTTTCTCTCTCCGACTCCTCAGCTCCGCCTTCTTGCTAGGGTCACTTTTAGCTCCATCATTGTCAGGGAAGATAATTTCTCTGACAAAGCGAATTTTGGAGAAAAACAGGTGCCACATGATCATCCAAGCTGAGGAAAATGAAAAGACATCATTTTACTTAGTACCAGTTCACCTAATGCAGCAAGGACTGGGATGCGATGTATGAATCATTTTTGTTGTGCTTGACTTAAAGTTTACTCTGATACAAAAATAGGCCGGGATGCATCAAATCTTCATTCCTTTCTGAATATTTTGGTTGGTAATACATTCTTTTAGCTTGAAATCTATCTTTTCAATACTGAAAATGCCAACATTTACTATTTTAAAACTAAGCTTGCTGCAATAAATCAGAAAATAGGCTTAATACTTGTAAGAATTAATCAAAAGAAATACACCTGCAACTAGATACTTAACACTAAATTTTCACATAGATCATCTTCATTTTAAGTGAAAATGTTATCTTTGTATCAAAAAAACTTTTTAATTTTTATTCTGAGAAAATAATTCTGATACCAAATCTAATGCAACAGGATAACATTTAAGAAGAGAATGTTAAAAATATTTGACATTGCATTTTTGAGCACAATGTGCAAATATTTTTTAAAAACCCACCATTTCTAGAGACAACCCACAAATAAACAAACTTTGCAAGCCCAACCAAACTTCTTCAGCCAAGAGATACTTGTGCATAGACTGTAGAAAATGACCCAGACACCGAGTTCACACATTTGATAAAAGAATAAGAGGATGCAAAAACATCAAAATATTGAAAATGTTATCAATTTGAAAATGTAAAGAAAATTCACCAGTGTGATTAATAGATACACATTCATCAAATTAAAGATAAAGAACACTTTCGCATGAAATGAGAAATTATCATAATTAATATCAATGTTGTTTGGTTTCAAACGAGAGGCATTTCTTTTCTTCTGAGCAATACTTGACATGCTCCAACCACTTGGAATAAAACAGTCTTTCAAAAAAAATTATTATTCAGTCATTCAGACGCATTTGGCATAGAGGCAAATAAATAAGCTACCAGCAAGACGTTTTTCATTTGGCTCAAATGGTATAGATTATTAAGTCAAAATTTTAATGATTATCATTAACAACATTAAGAGAAAAATTTAAAAATTATAAGGCAGAGATCAGAGAGAGTTACAACTTTAAACTATGTATCCACTTATTAAATACAATTAAGTATCAAATGGAACAAACAGATGATAGAAAGAATTAAAATACCAAGTTCAAATTTTTTTTTTTGAGTTCAGAGAATGAAAGAATCAGAGCAGATAAATTTTTAAATGGCAAACTTATAAGCAACTCTTGTCTCTATCTGTACTCTATGTTTGTTGAGATGTTACTTTTTATCCAACTCTAAAGAAACTGTATACGCAGTAGCTACATTCATGGCGCCCTGAATGTATTTAGTTTGCAATTTAATTTAAGAATGATTTTGCTCACTTCACCCCCTACCCTTTTACTACTTCTTTTTTTCATCCCTTCCCACCCCTCTTCCCGCGTTGGCCTTCTTCCATTCTCCCTTGTGTCTTCTTTTATTTTTAAATTGTCAAGCGTTGCTAGGTCCGCACATGGGAAAAGGATCAAAGTTAAGTGCTGCGCACTGAGCGAGCGAGGCCAAGTTGACCGAGGCTGTTTTGTTGTGCTCGCCTTCGCTCTCCATAAACCGGTAACTTGTTTATACCGGAATCTCCAGAAATCACCCAATACCTCCTCAAAATTTCTATGATATGTCATTTGCTATGCTATCTATTACTCTGGATAAAATATTGATCTGCTATACAATTTTATTGTATTTGAAAACTTCTTGATTCTAAATAAATTATTTTTAAAAGCCCCACAAAAATGGAAATAATATTGTCTTAAAACTCAACATCCACTCAGTGGAAATCACTCAAGCTGGTTGAGCTTGAGCATAAAATCCACGCACTCGTTCAAGCGCAATACAGGGACATGCAGAGAGCCTTTTGTGGATTGGAAGAGTGTGACCTGTGCGATGAGTTCAAACATTCTAGAGTCCAGAGGGATGTCTGGTTCCAATTTTCAGATCAGCACCGGAAGAAACATCTGGCAAAATTCTTGAAGCAATATAAAGATGCTGGACTTGTTCGTTCCACAACAGGTGGACAGGGTGTAGTAAGAATCCCAAAGGCAAAGAGTAAGAAGCCAGGGCAAGTAAAACGAAAAAGGACAGCCAGAACACATACACCATCCAAGAAACTGAAGCTGGAGAGAGAGCGAGAGAGAGCGAGAGAGAGCGAGAGAGAGAGAGAGATTCAAGATTCAAAATGATTTATTGATTTGAAAGGCCTTGGGCCCATACATCCACATATTTTAACATATGGTTCGGCAATTACATACATTGGTGCAGCACATTGGATGTTTAACATAAATTGGACATGCACGCCCACATACACGCATGCACGCACGCACGCACACTCACGTGACGCACGCACATACACACTCACGTGACGCACGCACATACGTACATACATACATACACACATACACACATACACACATGCATGCATGCATGCATGCATGCATGCATGCATGCATACATACATACATACATACATACATACATACATACATACATACATACATACATAAGAGCAAACAGAAATAGAACTTCCACACAGTGCTATGAATGAGGCAGCGAGAGAAATCGGGACATGTTTCACTCTGAGAAGTGAATACCATTATCTTTTTCATACATACATTACATATAAAATAGTACCCATTACAGTAGATACAGAGTTACATATATGCGAGTGAATACCTTTTCCCTAGGACAGACGTGTCCGTATAACAACATAATTTAGGAATGAGATTAACTTTTTACAATGGACTTCATCTGAACAGACTAATATGCCATTGAGCTTAGACATTGGCCCTTCGGGTGTCTGAAGTCTGACGCACTCTGGTAAAAGCTGCTCTCGTATTTCATTATATCGTGAACGTCTGAACAATACATGGAATTCATTTTCTACATACTTTTCATCACACTGGAGGCAACGATAACTGTCGACAATCCCCAACCGGAACAGATTATTTTTCAACGACAAACTGAAAGTTCTGAGTAATGCAAGGATCCTTCTACCTCTTGCAGAGATGGTGAATAGAGAGAGAGAGAGAGAGGTAATGCAAGGTACTTCCTCATTTTGAAGTGATATTATTTAATAAGTTAACATTTGCTGCCCTCACTCTTTACCATTGTTGCTCATGCAGTTTTTTTGTTGGTTTTTATTTTAGCTCCCCAGACCCCCTATTTTCTAGGTTTATTTTTAGCTGCATGGAAATGAGTATTGCTTCACAATAGGCTGTCTTTGCTTTTTATAACCTGAGGTTTGGTCCCAGAAGTTTAAGAAATTAATGTAGTTTGACGGTTACAAATATTACGTGAGTGACCGCTTTGTTTTTTTATTGACAAGTATTGTTTCTTATAATCTGTCCTCAGAGAAATTCGCGCCCGCAACCCGCAAGTTGCGCGCGCAACTTTTGCCCTCAGCGCAACTTTTGCCATTTTCGTTAATTCGAGAATGTTAGCCAATTTTCAGCAAAAGTTGGAAAAATTATAAAAAAATTTCTTTAAAAATTAAAAACACCTAAACTTTCTTCCAAGACTAAAAATAATGACACCAAGGGGGATAATTCGCTCCTTTGCACTATGCGGTGCCCATCCAGTGCCCACCCATTATGGATGGGATCGGGACCTAATCGGGACAAGTCAGGTCGGGTCGAGATGATCGCCCGACTTGTCGTCTGAAAACAATCTGTTTGTTTTTTAAGGGAACGAGTCGGGTGTGATCAACTTGTGAGTCACGATAGCCGTTTTGCGTCATCAATCTGGCGGGCAAACCGACCCGACTCGACCCCCCCCAATAGTCCTGTTTGGATTGAATCATCTTCCAGCTAGATTTAGATTTAGATCTAGTCTAGATCTAGATTAAATCAATCTAAACACGATCGTCTGATTACTTACCTTGCGTAGTTCCATAGCACTTTGTAGATAGATCCAGTATAAAAATTTGTGAAAGACTTTAAATCTTAGGCTAGGAGCTAGGAGGGTAGATCTAGGCATGGATCAATTCATCCAGAAAACCCCTAATGACAAGTAGATCTAGTCTAATTTTGATTTACACCGGAGCGGTTAAAGTGGTAAAATGACCATTGTACCATAATAATTAAGGGGGGGGGGGGGGCGCTACACCCCCCAAAGTCAAAATTCGGCTCAAAATTATGGAATTTGAGTTGTAGGCAATTTTAGCTTCCTCAGCCTCTCCTACAACTATTTCATCACATAAGAACCCCCCAAAACCGTATTTTCTCCCATACCGGGAATGTTTGTCACCGCCATTTCCTCATAAAGTCAGTATTTTTTTTTTCTTTATCGGCCGTTTTCTCAAAACGCGACTTTTCTCTATACTTTTTTGAATAACTCCACTATTTTTCATCCAATCTTCATGAAATTTTCAAAGAATGAAGAGAAGATATAATACTAAAAATTTGTCTGTTGAATTTTTGATATATGGAATAGATTTTTGTTGGTGGTGTCTGGAGTGTGGATTTTTACATATTTTTTTTAGCTATACACGTTTTGCAACTTTTCTTGCAACTTTTGCAAATTTTTCTTGCAACTGTTTGCAACTTTTGCTATTTTCAAAAGCAACTTTCTCTGAGGACAGTATAATAAATTAAATTGCATTGGCTTCCTTTGAAATATTCTGGCTAAGTTTGATCTCAATTTCAGCTGCTAGGCTTTTGAAACAGAGTCCCCATAACATATTTAGAAAATTTCCGTTATTAGAATGTATTATTATTAGTACAGTTGTGTGAGAAAATTGACATTAGGAATGAAAATGGGAATTCCAACTATTTCAGTGCACTTGGCTTCTTATTTCGTTCCTCTTTAAATTTTTTCCCCCTTAAAATTCACAGAAAACTTCAGAGTTCTTAAGAGAAATCAAGAAAGTTTTTATCTTAGCATCTAAGGTGTTTTATGAAGAGTTATCTTTGGTGACACTTAAAATCTGTCGCCTGGTTCTTGGCTCTTTTTATTAGAGAAAATGATGGTTTGTGAAATCTTTGCTCAACTTCATTCTTTATTTTGTTTTAACTGATAAGCGACTGCTCAGGTTGTAATTAATAGCCTGTACTTCTTAGAATTTTAATTAGTGTTGTACAGTTGACAGGTCCTGACCTAAAATCTTGTTGAATCCCAGTGTTCGTTATAAGAAACATAAGGTTTTGTGTAGATAATTACAGACACTGAGCAAGTACAGTGGAGTCCACTTATACAGGGTCCCCACCAAATCCTGGAAAATTTTTTCAAGACCCCCAAATTTTTTTCAAGACCCCAATTCGAGGGAAAAATCAGGCCGCTGCGCGTCAAGAATGATCCCCAAAAAAGCCAATCTATCAAAGATAAAAAGTCAAAATGTCTATAAATGAATGCAAATGTACATTTTGTAGTATAGTCTTCAAACAATAGATGACTATAATACTGGGTGACTGCCAAACCAGCTTCTCAATTTTCCAAGGGAGGGGCCTCATCCATTTTCCAGGAACATAACAATGAAAGCGTGTGCTCCATTTATATTTAATATAATACATGTATACATGTTTGTGAATACACACACACACACACATGTAGGTACATTATATCCAGTCAACAACATGTCAGTGTGGCACTGGGATCTTGAGAGACTTTGGTATTTCAGTCTGTTCTTACTTATTTATATTTTCCCATCATCATATTAGCCAACATAACAAACTATAGGCCCTATATAAAAAAATGAATCCTGTTTTGAGCCTGAAAAAGGACCTAGAACTAGAAAATCGACTGTCAATAACCAGTCTGGGTGTCCTGATTCATATAATAAACGTGAAGACGAAAACCATTGCTGCAACTCAAAGTAGAGTAATAACTAGAATGGCTCAAGTACACCTATTCAGTGGGAGAGGTGTAAGAACTGGGGGGGCGGGGGGCGCAAGATGCAGTGACACTGAAAATCTGCCAATCTTGAACAGAAAGCTAATAAAATATAGATATAAATTAGAATCACCCCATCCAATGAAACGCGAACACTTTAGTTCAATAACAAGGCATGATTGATCCTGATTCCACACAAGGCCTGCACCAACGCGCGCTTTGCAGAGAGCACTAAAGTAGTAATCAAAATGCTAAAAACTTGCTTCCAAGTTCAGTTTTTGTCCTCTAGCGTTGCATTCAGCTTCTCCCCCCCCCCCCCTCCCAATCCCCTTCCACGAGTGTATCTTATAAAGGAGTCCTATACTTCACAACGCTCAGACCGCCGGTACTCACAGGTTCATTGACCGGTCACGAGGGCGAACCTGTCAAGACGCTTGTATAACTTCTTTTTCTTTTTTTTTTTCCACAAGCGACAGCAGAGGACAATTTTTAATATTGATTTATTTTCAAGGCGACACAGCGTTCATAATGCACAACCTGCATGTTACAAATGTTGCGTTTTCTATCAGACTATTACCGGAAAATTTCTGGGCGGTAACGAAAGCAGATCTTGATTCTTCCCGATCGAGCCTCGGTGTCACACATACATTTCCGTCACAGCGGTTCAATTACGTTTCCTCTTTAGGATTCATCAACCATACAGTCTAGATAGCTGCACATTACACAGGCCCTATCCTTTCCCGACTTACCGACCCATCACAAAATTCCCGACTTTTTCCCGACCCATCTCAAAATTCCCGACTTTTTCCCGATTTCCCGACCCTGTGGGGACCCTGCTTATAACGAGTCCGGAAAAAACGAGAAGTCTGTTATAAAGGCACTATTCTAAAAACCCGTTTTTTTCTCCTCTTTACCTTCGTAAATAAAATACTGCTGTAGCGCTATCAGACAAACATGCAAGTCGGTTATAGCGGAATATTGCTGCTGCTGTGCTCAGTGCATAGGCCAATTATATTATAATGTAAAACCTCGCCAGTTGAGAAACTTGTACTTGTTGGTGATCTAGCGAAACAAATAATAGGAGAGCCCATGTGCGTCAACAATGAAGGCTGGAGCAACTGAGTAGGGAGGGTGTGGCATGCACAGACAAGCAGAACGCATCGCGTGATAGGCCAGCGTAAGCCTAGTTTAGATTATGAAGGCCTACCAATACCATGCCTCTCACTTCTCCTATGCGGGGATGGAGGGATCACAGCAATGTGATGGATGGAGCGAATGCGTGACGTGCGCAAGCAGACAGAATGTACCACCGGGTGGGGTGGGGGAAAATACAGCGGGCGACTTAGCCCAGAGCCCTTTCTTTCTGATTGCCAACACCGAGCTGTCAGTCCACATCGCTAGATCTAGCGCTAGTAAAGAAAGAAACCTGATTCGATTTTTGATCAAGTAAGACCTAGAGGTCATGTTGAAACAAAATCATCATCGGGGGAGAGAGCAAAAGGAAATAAACAGAACACCAAACTCATGGATTAGGCCTGCTTTACAGTTTCCCTTGAATTTATTACTGGATCCCTTATACCGAGAATCCTGCTATAACGGACATTTTGCTCCGGTCCCCTCCTTCTCGTTATAACAGGATTCCACTGTAATGTATAAAGAGAAGTCACAAGTACAGATTTTTCACATTCATTATAATGTAATGATGCAGTATTTAATTTTTGTTATCTTGTGCATGTTGTGAAGTATTCTAAGGAGAAGTGGTGAAATTATTAAAACTTCGCTTATCACTTATTATAATATTTCCTGGATATTTCCTGAACAATGCACAGAAACGTCATGTCATGTAAGCGTTTCTGTACCCTAAACCTAAAGTGGTGTTTGAAGAGATTTTACAGCAAAGGGTAGAAGATACTAGAATCTTTTTAAAAGAAAATAATTGCCACTTTTTTTTCTCAAAAAGCATGTTTTACACGCTTCAGTTTTAGTAGGAAACCTTCATTCTATTTCTATTGATTAATCAAGTAGTTGCCAAGTTCTAGTTTTATGTTTTTACGGTTTCTAAAATTGAAAAGAGAACTATTTTCGCCTTTTTGGACCTTTATCAGCGTTTTCTTAACATACTATTTTCACAAACTTTACCCTATATTTCTGCTGTATTTTATTCAATTTTCATGTAACTTTCACAGAATGTTAATGACACCTAGTTCTAGAAACTGTCTTGAGGAATTTTTGATTGCATATCATGTAGCTTTTGATAAATGGAATCAGAAAGTGATTTTCCCCCCTTTTTTTTCAGTTTTGCAATAAGCCGATTTTTTAAGTGCCGTAAAAAGAAAACTAAAATAAAAAATTCCTCAAGACAATTTTTCTATTAGATATCTGTACTTTTCCTTAGATGTACATATTGCCAGATAAGTTTTTGAAATAAAAACAAATAAGTCAAACCAAGTGAAATATTGTCTTTTATAATACTATTGTATTTTTTCTGTTTTTGTTTTTGTTTAAATAATTTATTCAGGATCAAGAAGTACCCAAATACGATAATATAGTATTACAGATCAACAGCCTACTTTATATCCACAGAGCGATAGATAGCACAGCAAAAAACATATTTTTTTAATTATCAAAGAAATTTTGAGGTTTCAGGAGGTTTTGGGTGGTTTTTGCGTGGTTTCGGGGGGTTTGGGAGGTTTCTGTTGTTTTCGGGAGGTTCCGGTATAAACAAGTAGCCTACCCTGCCTAAACTCTGCTGCATTCGAACCATTTATTTTACGCGCAAGTATTTCCGTACTGTTTCCTCATTCACTTTGAGTTTGAACGACCGTAGCGTTTCAGTCATACCTTTGTGCCAAAAGTGGAAGATTCAGGGATCTGTGAATCGTAAAGGTAGGCGAGCCACTGCGTATAGAATAGACCTAGATCTATCTATGTATTGAATGGAAATAGCACTAGAATCTAGATATATGAATCTAGATCAAGATTTAGATCTAGTAGACACCTAGAACTAGGTTCATGGGAGATCTTGTAGTTCAGTTCGTTTAAGTCCACAATTCATTTGTTTACATCTAGAAGTCTTGATGACCAAATAGGCAACACAAAGAACAGGGATGCAACCTAATTGCAAAACATCAAGTTATGGTGAAATTCAGGGGGGCATGATCCCCTGGACCCCCCTCCCCTCCATATTTTTATTAAGGAAGGACTTCCGTAACGAGCGATCACCCCATCAAACACAATAAAGAAGAGGCCTAGACCTAACCCTACCCCTTACCCCTAACCCTACCCCCCAAGCCCTTAATTCCGCTCTGTCTCACAGTGGTCGCTGTTACGGAAGTCGAAGTCCTCCCTTTATTAGGTCAGGGAGTGCCCCCCTGACACCCCCCTACTCTTGACTAAGTCCAGTGATTATATTAACTTGATTTTATGTTTATAAAGTTTATTATTGTTCGCGTTGGAAGCTGAAAGATGGATTTAAAATTCATTTTTTAAAAATTTAGGAGGGCGTAAAATGTAAACAATCCCCAACAAGCCTTCATTCAAGAATCAAGCCATCCATTGCCATCTCATGATTCTCACCTATGACGATCAAAATAAGAGTGAAAGTCAACAAAAATATCATAGAAAGTATCTGCGTGGCTAGGTCTTCCCAGTCCCAAGTCATTTTGAGGTGGATCTATTCAACTGTTTACTTCAGTAATTTGGAAACCATTGGTGTTGGATACACAGTCCAACTGTTATTTCTTCCACGAACTGTGGGTCATGCTTGCTGCCTTATCAACAACAAAGTTGAACGAAGACTCGCACTTGCCAGTGACATACAGTTTTCATCTCTGTTACGATCAAAATAGTATGGGGCCTGCAACTCCAGCAATTGCACATGCCATGAGTAATTTCGAGCGCAACTCTTGGCATCTAAGTTTTATAATACGTCAGTTATGTTGCTTAAAGCAGGTGGGTTTCAATGTTAATTTTGTGTCTGAAGCGTGGTTTATAAACATTAACAAGCATACTCTTAAGAAGAATTTTCAATGATTCAATCATCATGCAAAGAAGCAAGAAGAAAATAAAATATTCATTAACCTCTAATGTCTCTGTTTGCAACTCTCAAACTCCTTCCTCTCTCTCTTTCTCTCTTTCTTTCCCTTCGTCTTTTTTGGCTCGTTTGAAAGTTATTTTGTATCATCCTAAATATGTACCAGAGAGTTTTACAGTAAACTGATAATAATACATGCAAAGGAAACCAAAACCAAAGTGGCAATCTGAAGCGCCTTTCTCACAACATTGTCTCACAATCAATATAAGGCCTACTGTTGCTAAAATTTAGTCTTTGGTTTGACTTCATTTTCACAGAGCCTTCTGCTAGTTTATTTGATTTGCAATTTTGCCAAATAGAATATGCTAAATATCACGATTGGCGAGTGGTGAATAGACGTACTTACGAAAAAAAACTCATATTTGTGTTATCTATTAGAGTTTAATTTCAATATTGATATCAAAAGTTATATATGACAATAAGCTGAATAAAATCAAGCATCAACAGTATGTTTTATTACCTCCCTACTTTTCACGTGGAAAAGACTGGCATGATATCTGAATGTCAAAATGGCAGCCCACATGACGAAATGTAACCTGCAGCAGATACTGAAGTCATGCATTTCGCACCACAGTCAAAGTTCACCACTGCTGGTTTTTGGAAATAAGAAGGTAAGTAGGGTTGCATAAGGAATGTTGATCCCAGACAATATAATATTTGCTTTAAATTTTGTTAAATCAGAATCTGTTTTTGTTAAATGATGTCCGTAACACACAACAACAAGAAGATTATTAAGAATTAAGAAGAGATGATTTTGTAGTCTCGTTCGTTAAAGTCGAGAGCAGGGAGGTTTCAGGGGGAAGCCCCCCTGACCTAAAAAAAATATGGAGGTGGGATGCCCCCCTGAATTTTATCCTAATTTGATGTTGGCTATTGTTAGGGGACTGTACTGTACGCCCCAATAGCGCTTGTTGGCGCTAGGGGATCGTACGTCCTACCTGCACTAAGGCTTGGTGTTATGGGACCGTACACAGATATGCATGCATCTGGACTTTACAAAAATACTGGAGGAAAACGGCCAGTTTAACGAAGCTCCTGGCGTAAGGAGTTATTACTAGGAGAATGTTTAAAGGCCACCTCTATTCTCACCCCGGGTGAGAATAGTGCAGGCGAGTCTTTTGGCTATTCTTACCCGGTGCGCGTTCACCGTTATAGCCTAGATCTAGGCCAACGAATTTTGCGTTCACCTTAAACCACAGAATTCTACACTGGGATAAAAGAAAAATTGTAGAATTCTGTGCCGTGAACAAACGTTTCATTACTACTGTTAGCCTACTAAAAGCGTACAATTTTGTCTGTGGGCAGTACGAGAGAGAGAGAAAGAGAGAGAGAGAGAGGAGTAGCACGAGAACTTCCGGGCAAAACAAAATGGCGACCCGCGTAGTTTGGCTCGATTCGAAAAGTTAAACAGCAGTAACATCTTTGTAGACGACCAAATTAATTTACTTTTGTGTTTTAACATCATTTTAAAACTTTGTTTTGGTCAATTTGATCGTCCACACCGATAGACAGTATTCAGAAAGAGACAGAGAGAGAGAAGAGGGGAGGAGTAGATCTTGCGAGAACTTCAGAGCAAAACAAAATGGCGACCCCCGTAGTTCGGCTCGATTCGAAAAGTGAAATAGCCATAGCATCTTTGTAGTCGATAAAATTAGCTTACTTTTGTGCTATACGTAATCTTTTCTTTGCCTTTATCCATTTGATCATCCACATCGATAGAAAGTATTCCGAAATTAGGAAAAACAGGTCTTGTTTCACCCCGGGTGAGAATAGCCACTTCCTTTTATGTCCAATTAGTAGGAGCTGGAGAATTGCCGACGAAAACGAAGCCCCTCGCGGTCGGAATGCGGGGTCAGCCGGTTGAAAAATTGACATGGGTGCATTCAAATGCTTCGCGGAACGAGGGGTGATTAAATATCGTCTTTTCATTGGCGGAGAACTGTAGAGTTTTAAACGGGCTTTCCCGTGGTATGTATTTGGCCTTTGGCGTCTAAATAGAAAGCTTTTAAAAATACTGTCAAAATGTTTAAAGATCACTTTACATAATTTGTAAAATACCGGCTTAAAAAATATATCAAATAAAAGATCAGCTCATTTTCTATTAGAATAAAGTAATCAAATTGGAATTATTTTTCATCAATCCGTCCGCGAGACTTAGAAAGCATGTGACCCCGCACGTGGGATACACTACAATATAAGCCGACTCTCTCGCCGCGGGGCCCAGTACGGCGCCGGCGGGGTCAACGCTCAGTGTTTTTGTCAAAATAACGACAGATCATCGTGTTTGAGGCGATAAAATACTGATTTGTAATGATCTCACAGTCTTGAAAAAAATTAGGCTCCATATATTTGTTATAGTGATTGTACTCTGTTAATGTGGAGATGTTTAGTGCTCTTGGTACTCTTTTATTGTCTGTCAAACATGGGGTTGCAGCCAGTGACTGACTCTAACAAATTTGATCAAATTTTAAACAACTACCATTTTCTAAAAAATTGACTGAGAGGTTAAAGAATGGTACCAAAATGCTCAGTGGATATATAGGCCTTTCAAATGGAACTGATAAATTTGGCATACAGCTACTTTAAAAATTTAGTTTCTGGTACCTAGAGATATCCAGTAGCGATGGGTGAACCAGAATTTGAAATTTGCTCACGTCTGCACCAACGTTGTTGCTATGTGTCAATAAAAGAAATCAAAGAGAGGGAGGGAGAGAGAGAGAGAGAGAGAGAGAGAGAGAGAGAGAGAGAGAGAGAGAGAGAGAGAGAGAGAGAGAGTGTGTGTGTGTGTGTGTGTGTGTGTGTGTGTGTGTGTGTGTGTGTGTGTGTGAGAGAGTGTGAAAAACAGACGGAAAGGAAGTGAGAAAGAAAGTAAAAAAGTAAGAAGGAGCGGAAGAGAGAGAGGGAGACAAAGTGTGAGTTTGTGTGTGTGTGTGTTAGAGAGAGAGATGGGGGCCGGGGGCTTGAGAGAAAGAGATGAATAAATTTACACAAAGGGAATGTTTTGGAGAAAAATGAGTAGGATAATAGTGTGTGTGTTCAGGCGCATTCTGCGGGCAGACGTGAGTACATTTTTAAGCTTTGCGACCTAAAATAAATAGGCCCCTAAGCCCCATTTAATGACGCTCGTAAACACTGGAAAATTACTCACTTTTGCATGAGAGAACACGCCTGAGCATGCACTCAGTCTTGGTAGCGCGCAAGACGCAAGATCAACTCACATTCAGTGACAATAAAAGAAAGGAAAAAGAAGACAGCTTGGAAAAGGTAGATGAAAAGCAAAGCAAACTATTGTAGAGACTTGACATAACGTGGGGTTGTGAACTAAGCACAGACGAATTAAAGTTTATTTGCAAGCGCATTACATATTATACGCCTGTCCACATTAATAATAAAACAACATTAGTATAACTGGACTGCTTTTGCGCGCAGGTGTCGTGTAGCTATAGTGCGGTAAAAAATTCGGGGGGCAAATTTTCCTCAAATATCTCTTTAACGGGAGAATCAATGTCACCCATACTTTGCACAGCAGTTTGTATAAAAAAATGTCATAACTGAATCATATTTTTACACAACAATTGAGGCTCGATCAAAAAAATGTTCTTCATAAATTTATATAAAATACTAGGCATATAAATCTCCATCACGCGAAAAATGTGATTGTTCATAGCACTTCTCGCACACATTTTGCATACGCATATTATATGGCCTACGTCATAGCTCGCCAATGACACTTTTTTGTGGCAAAACTTCGTACAAAAATGTTTTTATAATATTATAATGAACACATTCTCTTTACACTAAAGGTTTCCTAAACATACGTTCAATAAGCATGCATGCTATTGCGATTGGAAAAAAATAACAGACTTGCTTTTAAAAGCGATATTATCGGAGCTGTAAAATTTTAAAAATTTGTAGAAACAATCGACGGGGATTTTTTATTTGTACTTATTAACTCACTTCAGACGGTTCACACAACAGTTGCGTGACCCCCCGCCGCGACGGTTTCCACAAGCCCTGCGTGACCAACTTTGGAATTTTTTTTTCGCTCTACAAATCACACGCATTATTTTATTTTTGTTGTTGTTTTGAATTTCATTCTACCTGTCACGTCTCTGGAAATTTTTAGGAAAATAAAATTCATGCCAATTTTTTAAAAATCATACAAATTAAAGTATTAGACTTACACAACTTTAGTTTTTTGTATTTGATTAAGCTTGAATGTTACTTTACTGTGTCAAAACATAATTACAATAGGGTAATTCTGAGAGTTGTGGTGATTTATTGAAATATTCCCGAAAACGCCAGTCTTCAACGCTTGTGACTGGTGAAAGGGCCCAGTAGTAAGTGAGTTAAGGAATTTTCTAGAATACAGTGTGAAGGAGTTTGAAAAAATATTCACCTGTTAAGACCAATTGATATCAGTCACTGTGCAAAAGTTGGAGAATCTATGTTCGATAGGTAAGGCGATATTTCACAATAAGTTGCGCCATGCATTTTTGACCACACTATAGGCGTAAATTGGTATACTATGAATTTTATTTGTACTCGTAACTCATATTCCACGCAAGGAGTTACTTGATTCATGATCTCTTCTCAATCTAATAGCATAATTATACCCTGCCTACCCCATCGTTCGTCCCCACATTTCTCTCTCTCTCTCTCTCTCTCCCTTTCTCTCTTTCACTCTTTGTGTCACGCTGTCTCTTCTAGCAATCTCCTCATGGTCCCTATTTTTACTTTCCACGAAGTTCTCGCTGAAATCTTCTGCCTTAGTTAGATATTGAAGGGGCACGAAAGCAAATGTCAAAAGTGACGTATGCGGTCGAAAATGCCTCTTCTTTTCATTATTTTGTCACTTCAACTTTTTTACGGGAATATTTTCATCCCATCCCCCTCTCTCTCTCTTGTCTCTCTCTCTCTCTCTCTCTCT